AAATGTTTTGAGAATGATGATGGCAACAAATGTACAAATGTGCTTGACAATGGATGGATGGATGGATGGATTGTGATAAGAGTTGTACAAGTCCCCAATAAAATGATTTTTTTAAAAAAATAAAAAGAACACCCTGTGAGGCCCTCGGCTGCAACAGGAACACCGCGGAGATGCTGGTGGACTCTTGGCTGCAGATCACCAGGGCAGCAGAACCTGAAGGATGCCTGCAAGCCGCCCAGCAACTTCCTTGAGATGGAGGTGAGCAACCCCCAGAGGGCTCACTGGGGCTGCTCCGCCACCTGTGAAATCAGGGTCAAAACAAATCTTCCTGCTGCCAAGCTGAAAGACTCCACTGTTAGAAGAAGACACGGTGGCTCTGAATGGCTGCGGCGTGCATTAGAGAGGGCAAGGTTGCAGTTCCCCCAACCCCTGGAAGAGCATTTTACATCCGAATCCTTTGCGAGCTGATGGGATCTTTGATGAGTTTTGTTAAGGAAAGGAAGCAAGGGCTGGAGAACTTTATAAACAAGGTCACACTCTGGCACAGAACGAGCGCTGTCTTCACATGTTTTTACAGTATGAAATAATAAATTAAAACTTTACTTCGTCCAAAATAAGATGCCTGACATTTGGCAAGAAGGAGGCAAAAGAAGAAAGAAAAAGAAAACCAACTCTCCGTGACTTAATGATCCGTATGTGCCAGTGGAGAAGTTCTCATCTTGGGTGCACAACGGCACAGAGACTGGTAGACCATGCCCGCCATGCGCTGGCTCTCATGGTGATGCTCGATTTAGTTTGCTTTGGCTGTTGACAAGAAGTTCATCTGCTTTAGCGAAAACCCCTCATTGCAGCCTTTCTGTCAGCAGCTCTCTCTCACTGTTAGTGTGGTGGACACTAACTGACGACCCCGCCAAGCTGTCATTCCAGTGTCATCTTCAGTGTCCTCACTAAGTGACGCCTGGGTCTGCTATGCACAGATTTTGGGTCATGTTCGCGTCTTGAACCTGACTAACTGGGATGTTCCTCTTACCCCTCTTTTTATTCCAGGATGTTCCTTGGGCTCATTGCTGTGTAGGGGCTGGTTCCCACTACTGCCCACATAAAAGGCATTCTTGTATGCAAACCACATCTTTCTTCCACATGGAAGATTCCAAATGGACATCTTTATATTCTGTGCAAAGAACAAAATCAAATGTATATACTAAAATCGCACGTCTAAGATTTTAAGTTGTTACCAAATAAAAATAAAACCACATTTCTGAAATGAAAAAAGAATAGGAAGAATACCCTGTGAAGCACACAGGCTATCAAATGCGGTCACCGCGAGTCAGAAAGCCACTCAGGATCACCTTACAGCAAGTTCACCGTATTCTTCATGAGCCTGCCCGGAAATGGTCTAAGCTTAGAACAACTAACACATGAACACCAATATTGTTGTATTTCTTGATTCATGCGTCAAGATATGTATTCCAGAATTCACACGGATAGCCAAAACCAAGTCTATTGAACCAGAAACTTTTTAACATGATATTTTTAATTTTAGTATTTTGATGGGCTACTCTAAATCTGGTTTGTAGTAACATGATCAATATTTTATTTCTTTTTTCATATGAGGAATTAGAATTGTGCCCAACTTTTATCTAATTACACAGCAGATTTAGGCTATTAATAGTCTTCTAATTAGAAGCGGAAAAAATAGCTAGTCCTAAACTAAGCAAATTACATACATACAGAAGCAGTTTTAACATGCTGTACAAGGATATGCTATATGTTATATACATTATAATAGAAGTGTGTAAAACAGGATAGAACATGTAAACTCCCTGAACACGAAA